TTCGTACAGTTTGTAGCTACGTTGTACATGAGATGAGAGAGCTACAGTCCTGATTCAGCCGTAGGGTTAGAAGTTACCACTGGTAACGGCGTATCATGATATCGAAGTCAGGGGGACTCGGTGTAGGGATTGCTAGCAGTGCCAGCCTAGCACATCTTCACTAAATTCCGCCAGGCACGTTTGCTGCTCAATTCTCTGAAAGCTTTTCAGCGGCGCAATAGCTGAAGTCGATAATGATTGCTGTTCACGATGCTGAGGGTGGCAACTGCAGTGTATTCAATCCTGTGGCGATCTGTCTCTCCGAACGACGATTGATGTTTAAAACACGAACTCCCTTCAAGAGGCCCCATGTAATGCAACAAAATGAAGTTGACGGGCACGAATCTGCCAGGTCGAGAAGAGAAGGAGAAGCACGAGATGGAGAGACAGATCGTTAAGCTCTTCTGTGGGATCGTAGGTGCGCGCGGTTCGTTCCCGATCGAAAAGATCGAGATCAAGAAGGCGAGGCCGAACGCGTGCAGGAACACCGACGCCGACCAACTGCGGCTTTTTGTACCCAAGGAGGGCGGTGAATGGCTTACGGAAGCCCAACTTATGGAGGGTCTGGATGCAGATGTAACCAGCCGCATGAAGGAACAACGCTTTGCGCAGGAGCCCATCGGCGCGATCGTCGCATCAAGACAACGCAGCAGGCTCACTTCTCGTAGAAAGACGTTGGAGAAAGTTAAGGGCCCGTAGATATGCTGGTGGTTCTGGAGAGAGCAACTGGTGGGACGATCGGTTCGGTGGAAAAGTGTAAGAGAAAGCTCCATACGTGGTTCCGCGATGGCCTTGATGTACGCGACAAGAAGACGTCCGATCTGAATCCCGGGAGTGATTGAATTGTCCATTTAGATCAAGCGGTGAATCCGAAGTACGCACTCGAGACACCAGATCTCCTTTCGGCGTATAATACAGCGGTCTTTCACTTACCAAACAAATTGTGGTGTGGTAATTCCACAAAAATCCTCCTCTACCAAAATGTATTAGAGACACCAACAACACGCTAACCCGCAAAGGTAAGCGCTTATTGGATCAAAACCGGAAGACCAGGAACGATCCCTTACACCGGGTCGGTTGCAAGCGCCTCTGTGCACCTTAGGTTGTCTTCGGTCAACCCAAAAACCTGTACCACTAGTCACGAGCTAAGGCTAGGATACTACGCAGCGCTTCCGCGCAACCCCACCGCAGTCCCTCAGAAAGGAAGGGTACCGGCGTGTTAGGCCTTATACAGGGGGACCAAGGTAAAACCTCGGTAGGTAGACTAATACACTCAGGGATACTCTAATCCCACAAATATATACCGAACGATACTCTAATACCGTTCCTGCCTCTCCGGCTACGTCAACTCTTGGCGCTGCCAAGGAAACTCTCGGTCAATGCACGATAAGCTCCCCGACAGGCATCCACACGCAGCCGAGCGTGTCCAGGCACTACAATAAGCTAGCTACACTTGCTGAAGTCGGACTTGACCCTTGTTGGCTTTGGGGGAAGACTGTCTTTTTATTACTGTGTTTTCTGAGGCCCTGGTGCCTCGTTCTGGTCATCCTATGATGAGTCCTATGTCCCTATACAAATATCTAGTGTGAACGATCGCAATAAGGCGATTCCGGACACATCAAATGACGACCGCGGCTACACTAATAAGTGCGGCCGAAGTACGTAACTAAATGCATCTGTACCTAAAAGTGGGTACCGTGAAGCCTCGTTCGGGGTTCTATTAAGACCCGACGAGGCTTCAGCCACTGACTGTCACTCCACCGAGGATAATGTCGTCATCCAATCAGAAGCAGTCATCTCCGTCTCTCGCTTGACCTCGCCTTGATTGCCCCTTGATTGAACTTGATTGTCGGGCTGGCGTGTCAACAGCGTTGGAAACTGCCACTTTCCAATGCCACAACTACCCCCGCCTCGACGCGAGCCTCCCACGCTGGTGAGCGTCTAGGCGTCCTCAGTTCTTCGACTCCATGGCTCCTCCGTCGCGTGCATTCGCCGACGCGGCTGCCGCTGCTCTTTGGGCTCTCCAGTGCTCCGGACGTACGTTTATCGCTCCTGCCGCTCCTCACTGTAATTCGGATCCTCGTTGTTGACTCCATCCCTTTCTTGATCATCTCAGGGAGCTGTTGATGTCGCCACCGACACCTCGGGTCGTCGTCCGGCGCGCCAGGCTCGTTCGGCGGGTGCCCCCGCCCCTATTGCCGCTGGTGCTGTGCCTCCAGCCCCGGCCGCGCCTGTCGGTGACCCTACGCTCATTCCTGCCGCCTCCAGGACCTCGGTCGACACTCCACCGGCTCCTCCAGGTAGTCCTGAGTCTGCCGCTGGGGGGACCGAGACTCC